CTGAGACTGTAACTCTGTATGGGAGTAGAAAGCCTTGTCTTTCACCCTCGGAGTGGCTGGTGGTTTCGAACTGCTGACCTTAGGGTTAGCCTTCTAACCTCAAGACTCCATGGGAAAGCACTAGGCTAGACTAGTCAGGGACCATGGAATTCAGACCCAGGTGTCCTGCTCACCTAAGAGCTGCTAGCCACCCAGGATGCTCTCCGGGGTGGTGGGGTGTGATTGGGTTGGGGCCAGGTGTGTATGTCAGATTCAACTAGGACAAGGAGCCTGGGCAGTGGGAGAGAGTGTATCCAGGCAGAGGGAAGCGGAGGTGGCAGGGATGTGCCTGGAGGTTCAGGGTTCAAGGGCATCTCAGCAGAAACCCAGAGAGGGCATAGGTAGGGGCCCAAGGGGTGGCGAGAGGGAAGCCGCCTTCCCAGGCCTGGGCTAAGACTTCTGGCCTTTACCTGTGGGCAATGGGAAATCCAACTTCCATTTTTAAAGGTGGTTTTGGTTGTGGCTGAAGGCAAGGCCTCCCTCCAGAGGACTGTCACTAAGGGGCGTGTCCTCGTCCACATCTTACAAACCTCCCCAGGGTCCTGCTACACATTCTGGCCACTCCAGCAACTCCTCCTGGGCCGGTGCTTCCAAACTCATGACCATCAAGTTGATTCCGACTCACACCAACCCCAGAGTTGCCCCTGAGGGTGTCTGAGACAAAGTCTTTCTGGGAATTGGAGGCCTTGCCTTTCTCCTGAGGAACGGCCAGGACGGCTGGTGGTTTCGAACTGCTGACCTTGGGATTAGCAGCCCAATGTATAACCACCATGCCACCAGGGCTTCTTGGGCCAGTGCTACTACTGCCTGCTTCCCTCTGTACCTGGGGGCCTGATGCAGGGCTAAGGATTCAAACACTGTTTCTGGCTCTAGCAGTGGACACTAGGGCCCCTTCAGCCTTGGTTTCTCCTGTGGCTTAGCTCTCTAGTGCTGGGGTCACAGCAAGACCAGGAAGGGGTGTCTTTCACAGACAGAATGTATTCTCTCGCAGTTTAGGAGGCTGGAAGTCCTAAGGGTGTCAGGGAAGGTTCTTGCTCACTCAGCTCTGAGGGACAATCTTCGTTTCTTTGAGCATCTGCACCTGGGCTATATGCATGCTCAGCACCTCTGGTCCCTCCTCTTGGCTCTGCTCACATGTTTAATCTCCTAGATCTAAAAAGAGATTGGCTCAAGGTACCCCCTACACCAGGGGTGGGGAGTGTCCAGCCCTCGAGCCAATATGAGACCTGCAAAACCATCAATACTGGCTATCAATCCATCACACGCCCCACCTCAGGAAAGCAATTCTAGCTCCCCTTAAAACAAAAATGCATTGCCAGCCAGTCAGTGCCCACTCATAGTGACCCGACAGGACAGGGTAGAGCTGCTCCTGTGGACGTCCAAGACCGTAACTCTATGGGGGGCCTTGTTTTTCTCCATCGGAGCAGACTGGGTGGTTTCCAACTGCTGACCTTGTGGTTAGCAGTCTGACATGTCACCACAACACGCCACCAGGGCCTCCACCTTAGTGAGGAGGTAATTAGATTCTTGACCAAATAACACAAGTTAAATGTTCAAGTTGTTGATTTTGTCTGGCCCCCGAATGATGCTATAAATATCCTAATAGCCCTGGGGGGTGGGGGGAAAGGTTCCCCCACCCCTGCCCTGCAATAATGGTGCCTCATTAACAAACAAATGGGACAATAACCATGGCACTGATGTAAGGACCATAGACCACTAGTTTCCATGGAAAATTCACTTCAGACGCCCCTCTCAATGGAGGTGACCCCCTGCCTCCGTATCTACCCCCAGGGTTGAGTGTCCAGCCAGCATGACCCTGGGGACCTTAGGTCAGGAGGCCCCACGAGACCCCAGTTAACAGATGCAAGAATGGGGCTCAAGCAGAGACGGGACCTGGCGACAGCCTGGAGTGAGGACAGAGAGAGGGCTCTCAGCCAGGTTGGTGACTATCAGGGTAGCGATGTCCCTCACATCTGGAGAGGCCACCCAGTAAAGCTGATGCCCCTCCGTGCTGGCCTGAGGTGGGCAGGGCTCAGTCTATAGCCTGGGGACCACGATGACAATGACAGCCACCACAGATCAGAACAAGTGCTGCAAGGAGTGCCCGAGCCTCTGCACCTTGCAGCTAGTCCATTACAGCAATCCCGGGTCCTCCCGTTCACAGAGGAGCAAGCAGAATCTTGGGAAATATACACACCCAGAGAGGCTAATGTGGTAACCACAGCACCTTCGGCTCCCTTCCTCCCTTCCCACTTTTTGTTGCTGAGCCTACACCCAGTCAAACTCACACCAACCCAACAGGATCTGCTTGTACCCTCGAGTGGCCCTGAAGATATTCTTTAAGTTGTGCCGCCAGCTGCACCCCCCATTTCTGAGTGGTTCCTCCCCATGAACGCACACTCCCTGCCCCTGAATGGGCATCCACCGAGTCTTTCGATCCCTGATGTCCATCTCTTAAAAGAGCAGGATGCGTGGAACAGACCATTTGACTGCTTCAATCAAACTGTTGTCTGACTCGCAGAAGATGCGAGAGGATATTCTTGGTTTGAGGTTTGAAGATGATCTCAGAGCAATAGTTCCAGGAGCTGCAGGGGCAGGGGATTCTTAGATCATGCAGTCTCTGTCACTCCCACCTAATGACATTTCCTGCCTGGTAAGAAGGTGAAGGGTAGGGGTAGGGGTAGGGGGGAGACACTGATAGAATTCACCTGTGAGTCATGGGCACAGGATTTGTTGAGGTTGCCGTCCTGCTGGGTATAAAAGGAGTCCTCTGAGAAGCAGGAGGACAAGAGAGAAGAGGCTTTCTCCTCCCATAAAGAGTTAGAGTCTTGGGAACTCAAGGGTTGCTATGAATTGGTGTCGATTTGATGGCAATGAGTTTGGTGTTTTGAGAAGCAGGGGGGTTGGAGATTCTCACTACCCGCCAGGCGTGGAGTGAGTCCTCTGGGCTCTGGGGTCCCTGCACAGTGAACCTTGGGGATCCAGGAGATGGCTGTGATGGATAAGGAGGAGCAGCAAAACCAGGAGCGCGAGCAGTGGACTTCCTGGCCCACAGAGCAAGTCATGCTGAGTGCTCTTGGACAGGTGGCTGGCTTGTGGAATAGGGTGCCTCTGGGCACTTAATTGGGGGAGCTGGTCTTACTGACCCACAAAGTGGAATCGAGCGCCTTTGAGTTGAGGCTTAGAGTGAAGTGGCCAAGCCCCTTGGGCATTTATTGGCAGCAATCAAAGAATTGTGTAACCTGT